TTGTGATCAAAATAGGATCCAATGTAAAGTTATTATTTCGAACAATTCAGGAGAATGATTGTATTATCGTAGTTCGAAATTTTATTGCACGTGCGAAATAATACTTAGACGAAAGAAAAAGGAAATAAGATAAAGTGACGTATTTCACATAAAGTATTTAACATATGATAATTATGATAATCTGTAGAAATAATAATTGTAACAGACTGATTAATAACGTTCATTAAATTGTTTATAGTTTGAAGAATCAGTCAAAGTATTTCTCGCGCGGAATTCAATTTTTGAAAAAATTTCTTTAATAGAGAGTAAGATGGTAGAAATTATCACTCCGAATTTGATCTAAAAAAGGGTGAATTCGATTCGCAAAAGAGTTAATTCGAAGTGAAAAACCTTTAAAGACATCGTTGTTCAGAATAAGCGAACGAAGTAAAAATACGCGATTGGTAAAATAGTCAAGTATAGATTCGGCCTTTTAATTCTTTTATGAGCAATTATTGACGAAAAAAATTTCTACTACATTGTAAATCAATGTCTTGGCGTTGATCTTTCTTCATTATTTTTAGCAGTCTTTGGCAGAAAGAAAAACAAAAGCAAAGGGTAAATATTCTCATTCTCCTCATTTAAATCACAAACGAAAGAAACAGCTTCCCAACGAAACGAAGATTCTTGTATCGTCCGGATTCGTCCTCGTTCGCGTCGCGAGAGATCTGAGAACGCGATTAATCTAATTCAAGAGGTAAATGACACGAGGAGTATATAATCAGCGCTGATGGCGTGCTTCGAACTCTAGAAATATCGTGCCGCTTCTCGCTCACGGCAGTCGTTCGAACTCCTTCGAAACGCGTCTCGGTTTCTCATTCGCGTTTCGTAGTTTCGCCCCTCTCGCTACCACCGTGTCAATCGACGGGAAAGGCCGGGGCATTGTCGCGTCGAAATTGTGCGTAACTACGACAATAGTTCGGCGAAATTAATGAAAACTCGCGCGCGCCACTTTGGGAAGAAGGGGTGAAGAAAGGGACGAAATCCTCGGCCCCGGGGATCAGATATTTCAAACGGAGAAGCAAGGAGGAGGTGGGAGGGATCGGCTAATCGTGACAAATACTGATCCCGGATTGCCGAATTATAAACTAATGTCTTGAGGAAACTTTGCCCCGAATGGGTTTCTCCCCTTCTTCTCAATTACAAGACCTGATTGCGCCTTCCCAGTGATCGAACCAGCCGTCTTCTCTGCCTCGCTCGTTCTCGCTCATTGAAATCCTCTTTTTCGCGAAAATGCGGTTGACCTTTGGAGAATGTTAAATCATCGTTTGACGATCTTAACAATTATGAATCATATCCTTATGGTATACAGGTACAAAGAATTGTAGAAATGAATTGCAAATTTATTATTCTATAGCTAACGACAATTGCGTCGTACTTTACAATAACAATAATCATAATAACAATAATAATAATGATAAAACACGCTCTCAGTTAAGAGAAAACAAAATTCAACGAGAGAACTGTAGCTGTCAGAACGTTTCAAACATCACCTAGTTTTGACGTGTGAAAAAAAGAAGAGAATCAAAGAACCTGTATATGTGAAAGCAAGTATGCTGTTTTTTTCATTATAACGAAAAACAGACGTAGCGAAAGTAGCGACCTAGCAAGAGTAGGGATAGCTGATGGTACGGTTAGGGGGGTAGACGGACCGTAGCAATGTAGACCGGTCGGCGGAGAAAGGAAATTGGATGATATTTCCCGTGACGATCAAACCTTATTGCCAATTGAAAGAGGAAAGTTCGCAGTACATTTACCGGGGAAATCAGCGGTGGCGTGGTGAACCAGAAAATGGTCCGGCCGTTGCAAAAGGCAGCTCTTGTTCAGGCCTATCGATCGCTCGGAGAAAAAATCATAAAAAACAAGATCTAATATCTGAACGGTGAACATTACCTCTTAAAATTATATTCCCGAATGAGTATATGACTGAGGTTACATATCTCTCACCTTGGAGGTATTTTTTCTTTTTTTCAGAATTGTAATTAATTAAATTAAAAATGTTCGCTCGACATTTATATTGTAGTATTTATGCAGATGAATTTCGACAGATGAATCGATATTGCTGTTTCTTTCTTCGTGCGAACGTAAAAATGATAGCTCTTTTGGTGTTATATCAGACCGTTCTGGATCGATCGGACAGCCATAAAGATCAAACCTCTAATTTCCCCACAGCGACGTAATGTATTCCCGCGTTTCGTTTCATTTATCTGATCTCTCCCATTACGAGGTATTCCGGTAATACCATCAGAGGCTGAGCGATCGCGCGGAAGAGGACTTATAGTTCCATTCCGATGTCCCTCGTCATAATTTCATATATCAGAATCCGCAGAAGGTCGGTATAGCGGGGAGGAGTGGGTTCTCGCGAAAAGATCACATGTAGGGAGACAGGCAGCCCGGGGTATAATGAGAGCCGGAAAGCGTCAGCGGCATCTAATGTCGGAAATTATAGCATATTGCCAATAAAATCCCTGGGCCGGGGGACGTCTGCCCTTGTACGAGCCAAACTAAACAGGTTTCTCCTGCTCTTCGGGGGCGGCGGGCTTATTGTAACGAACGTTGGAACCACGTTTTGCCATTACACAAGATCTCGTCCCGGGGGAACGACCGATACACCGATAATACCGCTAGTCGATAACTCGCTTACAGTTTGACGCTCCTTTCCTTCCTTCTCCTCTGAATTCAAGTCGCGAAACCAAGGGAAACGAACCGCTCCTAACGTGCGCCTGCTGCTCTGTATCTCTCTTTTCCTTTTTCTCTCTCTCTCTTTTTTTTTGGTGTCTTTATTCGAGCTGACTCGAGCGACGCGCGATGCATAAAACAATCGAAAAGATCGAAACTGAGGAACGAAACTAGTAGTAGAAATGGGACGAGTAACGTTGTGAATATTATAGACGTTTCGATT